TATCTAGCTCATACATTCTCAAAGTTAGTTGTTGTTGTTATGTAAAGCACTATGCAAATATGGCTTCGAGGTCCCACCTTCCAAGAGTGCAGCTCCTATGGGGTGAATAAGTGAAAATATAACACTGCTTTCCACCTAAATCTGATTATTCATTGGAGGGCAAGAAAGGATAGACATGATCAATGCATGGATCCATATATGGAATGCATGCATGAAAATGTCATGAAGAAAGCCACTTATTTGTATAATTAATGTATGTTCATAATAAAGAGTCAAGGAAGAAAATCTGTTTATTCAAGCTCTAAAGAATGACCATCTTGGCCAGGCATGGTGGTGCACGACTATAATCCCAGCTACTCCCAAGGCCAAGGCAGGAGGATTGCAAGTTTGAGGACAGCCTGGGCAACTTAGTGAGATCTGTCTCAAAATACGACAGGCAAAGAATCTAGTAGCTCAGTGGTAGAATGCTTACCACCACCCCTACCCCAGGTTTATTTTCACTTGATGTGCATGCAACCACAGGAGAGTGTAATTCTGGTGACAGCTGACCTCAGAGTGCCTCAGTGATCACAACGTGTCTCAACCAGAGTTTGGAACTTGATGCCAGTTTATTCCCCATTTTCTGTTTGGCATGATGAACACAAGATCCTGGCCTTCGAGGAAGTCAGTGACGGAATTTGAGGAGCCAGAAATGTAGGATGTGTTCCTGAGAGTTATCATTTGCTCTAAGAATCAACTGGAAGGAGAAACTGAGTTCTAATGTTGCTACAAAATCATTTGATAGGTCTGGGCTTCCCCCGCTCAACACTTCTCATTGGTTTTCCATTCAGCCCTTTCCTCTCAGGCCAGGGCTGATGACTGAGCCCTTCTTTTCTGCCTGCTCCCCCACCCCACCCCACTTTATCTTCTTTCCTCCCCAGGACATCGCAGACCAAGAGCAAAGGGATCTTAAACGTCTAACAGAGAACTACGCACGTGGCTGGGGTAGCTGCTTTTTTTTTTAGCTTATTTTCAACTATGGCTAAATTGCCAGTTGCTAGTTCAGCAACTGCTTTTGTGCAGACTGAGGCATAAAAATATTTTTTGCATTATACATGACTAGAAAAAAATCAGGATAAGTTCATAATACTTGGAAGTTATATAAAATTCACAGTTCAGCGTTCCTAAATTAAGTTCTATTGGACCACAGCCACACTTACTGTCTGTAGATGCTTTCCTGATATAATTGCCAATTTGTATAGTAGTATGGATAGAAACCATGAGTCAAAGAGATAGAGAAAGAGAGAGAGAGAGCTAACTGGTCCAAAAAGTTTTAAAAGTTTCTTCTCTTCGTTTGAGGCCTATCTGAACTATATAGTAAGACCCTGTCTCAAACACACACACACACACACACACAATTGTCCTGCTCTTTATAGAAAGTTTGCCAATGCATAGCCTAGAATATCCGGTTTGAAATCAACCATGAACAACTCTTACGTGAGTCATGACAGAGTGATTTGCAGATCTTGGTGAGTTTACATAGCAAAACACAGGAGCTGGACTCAGGCCACACACATGTAATCCCAGGTTACAGGAGGCAGAGGTGGGAGGATTGCTAATTTTGAGCTTAGTGTAAGTAACTAAGTAAGTGACTAAGCAAAACTTCGTCTCAAAATTTAAAAAAGGCTGGGGATGTAGCTCAGCACAAACGCCCTGGATTCAATTCCCAGTACAACACACACACACATCAAAAAAAAAAAAAAAACTTACAAGGATAGGTATTATCAGCATCACATAGATAAGAAAACTTGCTGAGGTAAAACTGTCAAATTCAAGGAGTCTGGAATCAAGTCCAAAGCTGGAATTCTTTTCACTGTAAAACATCCCTCCTTCTTTCTCTGTAGAACACTATGTTCTTTGTATGTATATGTGTGTGTGTGTGTGGACTTGAACTCAAGGTGATCCTCCTGCCTCAGCCTCCCGAGTGCTGGGATTAGGGGATGCACGACCACACAGGACAACTATGTTCTGAAGTATAACCAACCTCAGTCAGTCCACAGGCCCATATTTCCTCCCTTGAGGCCAACCATACTGATACTAGGAACTGAGCTCAGAACCTTCTCACTGGATTACATCAAACAGCTCTGTTTTGGGTTTAGTTTTTTTGTTTTGTTTTTGTTTTTGTTTTTTTTGAGACAAGGTCTCACTGAATTGCTAAATTGCCCAAGCTGCACTCAAACTTTCTATCCTCTTACCTTTGCCATCACACCCTGCTTTTTTGTGGTTTTGAGTTCTTTATTTTGTTTTTGATTTTGATTTTTTGAGGCGAAGTCTTGCCGTGTAGTTCAGGCTGGCCTTGAACTCACTATGTAGTCCAAGCTGGCCCCAAACTCACAGCGATCCTCCTGCCGCAGCTTCCTGAGTGCTGGGATTACATCTCACTCAGCCTTAACATTGATTCTTTCAGAAGTTTCTGTTTAACTGGGGATGTAGCTCAGTGGAACCACACCTGCCTGGCAAGCACAAGGTCCTGAGTCCGATGCCCGGTACAAAAAAAAAAGAAGTTTCTGTATAGATTTAGGTCCTTTCCCATCCAGAGCATTTCCTCTGAACTTGTCTACCATCCTCTTCATGTTTGACACTAAGGAGAATGTGATGCATGGTACACAGCCATAAGCATCAGGTCTCCAGAGTTCTGCATGTTCTACATTTTTCCTACTTTATGCTGAAGATGATGTTTTGAACCCCAAGGCAGGGTTTTGCACTCAGTACTATGGAAGTTTGCTTGGTAAGAGGGAGTGTATCTCGGCTGCTGTCAGAGCCAAAGTTGTTCCAGTTGTTCCTCCTAACTGCTCACCATTCATACATGTGATCTGCATGCCTTGTTCATCTGGCAAAAATGCCTTTGCTCCACAAGGTGGCATTCATGCCTGCCCCGTGCTGGGATCAAACCCAGGGCTTCCCACACAGCTAGGGGAGTGCCCAACCACTGAGCTACACCTCCAACCCAGGGCCTCCATTGCATCAAGACCCTGGAATTCAATAGTCTTCCAAATCTACAGACCCTTCCGGGATTGCAGACTAGAGTAAGATGCTGAGAGCGGATGTGCTATAGATCACTGTGGCCTAACTTGCCTCCCAGAGGGCATGATAAAACAAGGCCTAGCCAAAAAGAAGACTGTCTTCCTTCCCACCCATTGGCCAAAAGAAACATCAAACACTATCTCCTACAAACCCTAGCCATTCTCCTTGCTCCAATCAAACATCCTCTTTCAGTTTCCTTATCTGCACTATAAATAAAGGTGCTAAAGATACAAGCTAAGCTTTTTGTCTGGTCTCAGCTTTATAAACTTTACTGTCAAAGCCTTTGTCTTCTTTGTCTTATTAAGTTTCTTAATCTCTCACCATCGTTTCTCACTCCATAAACCCTTCAGCCATGCAGGGCCATGACAGTAAGATTCTGTACATTTCAGAGGAACCCAAGCGGACGTCAAAAGGACATCATTACTTTGAATGACCTCTAACACCCACACAACCACTACTGTAGATCTCCAGCCTCCTCCCTGCATCCCTCTCCACACAGGCCCATTGGAGAGGACATGGGGCATCCAGGCCTCCCTCCCTAGCCATCGCCATCCCAGTTCTACCACTTGCTTACTACTAGGACCACCAGCAAGTTCCTCAGCATGTCGGTGCCCTCTTCCCTATTGGTGAAATAGGGGGACTCATAGTAGCTACTAAATAAGTTCACATTTGATAAGAAAAGTTTCCACTTCACAAGATTTTCACAGCTAGAGCCAAGCATGGTGGCACACACCTGTAATCCCAGCACTCTGGGAGGCTGAGCAAAAGGATCACAAGTTCAAGCTCAGCCGGAGCAATTTAGTGACTTAGTGAGACCCTGTCTCAAATTGGGCTGGGGATATAACTCAGGGCAAAGGCCCTGGGCTTGATCTCCGGAACTCAGGGAAAACACAGCTAGTATCAGAAAAGGAACAATACACTGGAAGACTGTGAGAATTAAAGCTTATTCAGAGTAAACTGTATTTTTTCTCCACTTGTCCCACTTTAAACTGTCTGCATACCCTGTGAAATAACCTGCCCCTTGTTCAGAAGTGCGGTAATTCCATATTCCTCCAGCAGTCCCTGGTGTAGACTTAACCTGTAGATCCTAAGAGCAGCACAACGATGCTGCTTAAAGCAACTTCTGGGTGTCTAAGGTAGAACATGAGTGCTGTTAAACTTCTTTCCTGGGGCCCCATGCTTGCTAGACAAGTGCTCCAATCATTACACAATACACATCAGTCTTCTTATAATCTTGAGGAAAGAAAAAAAGAACACATCCTCACCACTCAAGTGTTTTAGCCTAGATGACAGTGGATTCATGTCTTATGGGAAACAGCAAAATCTGCAGAATTTCCCTTCTCCCAAATTTGCCTTTAGTATAGGAAATGGCAGCTTCTAGGTCATTCTTATTCAAGCACAGGTGTATGAAAAAACTAAATTACAATGTAACTATCAGCCAGGTCTGGTAGTTCACACCTGTAATCTCAGGTATCTCTGAAGCTAAAGCAGAAGAATCAGGAATCCAAGGTGAGCCTGGGCTCCTTAGTGAGGTCCTGTCTCAAAATTTAAAGGGCTGGGAATGTAGCTCAGTGGTAGAGTGCCCCTGGGTTTAATCACCAGTACCATAAAAAAAGAAAAGAATGTACGGTTATCACTAATCTAAAATATTTTTGTTTTTGAGACAGGATCTTGCTATGTAGTTCAGGCTGGCCTCAAACTCAGTCATCCTCCTGCCTGAAACTCCCAAGTGCTGGGATTACAGGAGTGCATTGCCAGTCCTGGCCTGCAATCTGCTTGGTCTCACTCGGTATCCAGGCTGACCTCAAACACACAGTGACCCTCCTGCCTCAGCCTCTGGAGAGGACTGCAATCTTAATTACCAGGACTATCAAGATCTGAATGGCACTCTGGAAGCCTCAATTTTCTTAATTCAGAATTTCAGGATTCAAACAAACTCAATGTGAAAAATAAACATTTATTACAAAAATTAGTTTTGATGTTTTAAGATGAAAGCAGACACAATCTTTTCCAACTCCAAAGGGCTGTTGTAAGCTAGAAAGGTAAACGCCAAAGCTGAGGAATGACTCAGGCTCACAAGTGGCCAAGTGAAGAACGTCACCTCACCTCGGACTTAGAGCAGAGAATCACCCATTTATTTCCTCAAAGCACTCCTTCAGGTCCCTCCCACCCTGCCATCTCACAAGCACAAGGTCTCCAGTTCAATCCCCCGTACCAAAGATAAACCCTAAAAACAGGGACATACTTTAAAATTTTCATCCTTACTGACCCATCTCATTTTTGTCATCTCATAGTATCTTATTTCCCCTGGAGAAAACGTTTTATTAATACATAATCATTAACAGATAGAGTTTCGCTTTGGGGGGGGGGGTCCTTGATTGTACATTTAGGGGTGTGGTGGCACATGCCTATCATCCCAGCTACTCAGGAGGTGGTGGCCAGATCAAAAGTTCAAGGTCAACCTAGGCAACTTAAGACCCTGTCTCAAAGAGAGAGCTGTGCCTTGGTGCTAGAGCCCTTGTAACCCTGACCCTAGTTTCAATCTCCACTGCTGGAGACTGTTAGGGGGTTCTATCCTCCAAGTAAATAAACAAAAGCAAACCTAGAGGACCCTTTTATTTGTCCTCTTACTATTTAATAGATTGCAGGTTTGTGGTAGATGGGAAACTGAAACTTAAGGGCAGAAGAGTCCAAAATAGCTCAACATGGGGATACATGACCGATCCTTGCCACTCCAGAGGCTGAGGCCGGGGGCCAGCCTGGGCAACTTAGAGATCCTGTCTCAAAATTTTAAAATGGTGGGAAGGGGAAGCTGGAACTGTAGCTCAGTGGTAGAGGGTTTGCCTACCTTGCACAAGTTAATGGGTTCGATCCCCAGCACCATAAAAAATAAAAAGGTCCAAATGGGAGGAGGAATTCATTGACAACCAGGCCTATCCTATTTATTCCTGCTATCTCTGAAATATCTTCTGAACCTTCCACTCACTAAAGTATTAATTTAGTATAAAAATCGTTTTCCAAATAATCCCAGAAATCACCGTTCATAGCAGATTTTCCTCTAGCTTTGGGGAGCCCATTAATGCACCCTGTTAGGCAGGAAGGCAGGCACTTCCTCCTTTCACCTGGTGAAGTGAGCACACCCCGGGCTTCTCCCCAGCACCCTCCCCCAGCAGAGGAAGGGAGCCACATACAGGGAACAAGGGTCTGAATTCCAGAAGTGAAGGGGCAGCACAGGGCCCTGGAGACCAGCCCCCGGTGGCCAGGAAGCAGGGCTTTGAGGCATTTTCCTGTTTGTACAAAGGAGCCCAGGGACCCTCAATGACCTCATTTCCCCATTCCCCACAGAAAGAAGCATTGACAAACCAAGTTTTTATTTCCAACACATCCAGCTAATTCAGCCACACACAAACTGCAGCTCACCAAAGAGCTAAGAAGCTCTTCAACCACTCCACTCAGTCAGCATACAGCAAAGACCACGGACTCACTCTCTCTCTCACTCTCTTTCTCTCAGCAAAGAGCCCAGACTAACACACACACACACACACATCCCCACATCCCTCCTGGTATATTCTAAAGGTCTGTCCAGTTGTTCCAATTTTCTTTCCTTTAGATCCATGGTTTTAAACGTTTTCTTGCTCCAGGTCTCTGAGAATTTACTCTGCTTCCCTATTTTCTTACAGACACAGTTTCAGTTTGCTTGTGTTCAGGAAGACAGGGCAGGAGGGTCCCAGTGGCACTTTTCATGGGAAGATAGGCAGGTGGGCTCCAAGACGGAAGAGCCAATATCACAACCAAACCACTCTTTCAGCTGCTTCGCTCTCCAGTCCCCACCGGGGAAGCAGAAAGCCTAGGAGTCAGGCTCAAGATCCTTATCCAAAGGCCACAGGCAGGCCAGGTAGTGGTTTCAGGTTGCCGGGAGCCCCATCACTTAAGCTGTCTACTTAGAGGGGAAGTCAGTAGGCACCCAGGCTCCTGTCCGCTCTCCCGCTCTCCCGTAGGGCAGGGGAAGGGGAACCACTCAGCAGTGGTATGAAAGGGAGGGAATGTGGTGAAGAGGAAGGTGCACAAAGCTGACATTGTTAAAATCACATCCTAACTAAGTGGGGGATCCTGTGGGTCTAGAAAACAAGGCATCCTGTGAATCTACAGATGTCAGGACCAGAGTCTAGGAGCTCCTGAGGAACATGGGCATCAGAAACAAGAGATGAGCCGGCCCGGGTCACACCAGGAACGACGAGGTCTGTTTGAATTCCCCCTAAGGAAAGAAAACCTCTAGTCAGCTCTAGTCTTCTTTGGCTAATAAACTTGGAGACACAGAAACTCCGGCCAGAAAGCCCCCCAAGGCAGCCAAGAGGGCCCCTCCCCAGGCAGGCGCACTCACCTCACTCCGGGGAGTGGGCTGGCTGTAGATCACCTTCTTACTCGACGAGGTCCTGTGGATGAGTCAGACATGGAGGCACTCAGGCCCCTCCGCCCTCCTCCACACTCCATGCCAACCTTAGAGGCCACAGCTAAGAACTCTGCAGAAGTAGAGGGCTCAGTAGGGAAGTGTGGGGAAAGGGAAAGAGGCCAAGTCCAGGGTACAAATGGGCAGAAGGTGTCCTCCCTCCAAGCTGGTGGCCTCCACCTCCAAACTTCACTCCCATGCCCCCCGCCCAGGGCCCCTCTCAGCTTCAAACCGCACACATCCATGTTCTCAGCCTCAGAGAACCCTGGCGCTACATTTCACTCACTTTTTCTTTGCTCCTGAAAGAGAAAAAAGGAGATGGTGAGCACCAGAAGAAGAGCACAGGCTGGTGTGGCAGGCTGGGGAAGCAGCTGGGAGCATGGGATGGGGCGAGGACCCAGTCACCTATCCTCCTTGAGGGAGTATCCTGTCGGGTCCGTACTCAGTGGCACCCACAAACCACGCCTGGACTGGGGAAGATAAAAGGGAGGGCAAATACTTACGCTCAAAGTAGCCTCGGCTATAGGCAAACCAGATGCCGAAAATCAAGACTCCAAGGAGAATCAGTGTTATGAGGACAGCTGCCACGATGCCCCCCACATTCTGCTCCACTGTGAGACACAAACCAGAGGTCAGGCACCTGGATGCTCAGTCACGGTGCTGACAATGCTACTGACAGCACAGAATGAGGAGCAGACCCTGGTTTTTCCACCCAGTTCTGAGCCCACTCCCCCAGCCCAGTCCCACGCACCAGCTTCCATGCGGATGCTGTCTGACCTCATGGGTGTCCCAACCCCATTCTGTGCCTGACAAGAGTACTCTCCAGTATCAGCAGATGTCAGAGGGCTGAAGGTCTGTGAAGAGATAGTTGGCTTGGAGAAGAAAGAATCTACTTCTTGTGACACTAGCTCCAAGCTCAACCTGTTGAGCCCCACACCCCCAGGTCTTTAGCTCCGCCTTGTGCATACCAGCTCCCCTGTCTTGTGATTCAGGGTATAGGAAGAATTGATAAAGGCACGGGTGTTCTTGGGATCTTCAGGCATCAGGACCCCATCCCTGAACCAGGAGTATTCAGAGGGTGGAGAGCCATCCTGTTCGGAGCAGGTCAGCACCGTCCGGGTGCCAATGGTGGAGGAGGAGGGGATGTTGACTGTGGGCTTGGACGGAGGCACTGGGGGGGTAAGATAGAAGGAAGCAAGCTGCTGAACCAAGGGTGGGGAACCCCATCCACTCGGTTCCAGCCACCCTCTCTTATGCCCTTAACTTCCCTCTAGTGGCACCATGACTCTGAATACCCCCATCAGCAAACACTGTCACCATCAATGAGTTCCAAAGCTTAGCAGTCTGTTTGTGGAGTTTAGGGAAGCAGCCAGTCCCAGACCCACAGGGAAGACACACGAGGTGGTGCGTACCAAGCACAGTGAGCTGGATATGGACCTCCCCGTAGCTGTTGCCACTGTCCTCAGTGACCATACATGTATACGTCCCTGTGTCCTCCCGAGTCACCGAACTGAAGGTGATGCCGCTGGTTGAAAAGGTAACACGGTCCGCATAGGAAGCTACCCTCGGAGAAGGAGGCAGAGACAGGGTGAACTGGAGAGCTGAGGGAGCCTGGCGAGGTGGCATCCATGGTACCTGGGCACCCTCTCCTTCCTCAGAAAGGGCAATGGGAAAGCCTCGGAGACTCGAACCCCAGGGTGCACCCTGCCCCTGGCATCCAGGGTCAATCCCTCCACAAACTCAGCCACCAGGGAGGAGGTGAGGCGACTCACCAGTGATCTTGTTATTATAGCAAACGAGCCTGGTGGTGTCGCCGTGGTCAAACTTCCACTCCACACGGGGGGAGGTGAAGCCAGAGTAGGTGCAGGGCAACTTGACCGCTGCAGATAGGATCGAAATGAGAGGGAGGAAGAGGAGGAGCAGGGGAGAAGGTGGGAACGGAACAGCCCCAAAGCACCCTCACCCCCATCCTGCCCACCCTCCATACCCTGCCCCACTCACGGTTATTCTCAGCCTCTTGGACGTCAGGATTGGAGGTGTACACGGAACCCTTGCCCAGCACCAGGGAGACTGAGGAGGACAGAGATGGGCTCCATCAGAAGGGGACAGTGAAAACCACGGTGCATGGGGATGCAAGCTCCTCCCTGCCCAGCGCTGACATCCTCCTGCCAGTATCCAAGCTATCCTTCTTAAATGTGTTCTGCAGCCTGGCATGGCAGTACATGCCTTTAATCCCTGAATTTGGGAGCAAGAGTACTCCATGGATTCAAGTCAAGCCTGGGCTACATAGTGAGTTCAATACTATCTACATAGGAGATCTTGTCTCCAACAAAACAAAACAAAACAATCAATCAATCATTTTGCTACACCTGCAGGCCAATGCTGCTTCTACCAATGGAAATAAAACACTTCTTTCAAATGCAATTTCTTTCCTTTTTAATGGTTCCCTCTGTGACTCCCAATAATACACTTAAATCCCTGCTAGTCCAAGGGCAGCTCTTCCAGAATGGCATTTCATGATTCAGACAAAGCTTCTCAACAAAGAATTGCAGCTACTTGGCAAGGCAACCCTGGAAGGAAGCCATCACCCTGGAGGTCTGGAAGGGAGCGAAAAGGGGTGCAGTAATGAGGATAATAATAATACTTGACATTAGTAGAGCATTTATTGCTGTTCACGGCATTTTCAGATACATTACATAGTTTGATCCTTGAAAGAAGCATGACATATCAGCAGGACAAGTATTATTACCCTGATTTTACATGAGGAACTGAGACTACACGAAGTGAAGAAATGTGCCTAAGATCCCACAGCTGCTGGATCTGAGATGAGGCTAGAATTGGGCTTGGACCACCCCAATAAATCTCCTAGACTGGTCTCGGTGGTGCACGCCTGCAATCCCAGCACTCTGGGAGGCTGAGGGAGGCTCAAAAGTTTGAGCCCCATCTGGATAATTTAGCAAGATCCTATTTCAATATAAAAAAATAAAAGGAAAAGTGCTGTGGATGGTGGTAAAGGAAGCAAGGTTCGAGGGATCTAATTAAATAAGGGGAGGAGAGGAATCAGGGTTCCCAGGTGGGCCCCAAACCTGCCAAATTAAACTAGGGACAGGATTCTGGGATCTCAGACAGGGTTACAAACCTGCACTTACACAATTAGCCTCACTCATGTTTCAAAGCTCAGATACACGAAGGCTTTATTTATAGCTTTCAGTCACACCATAGTCTTCTTAGATAAATGCAAAATTCAAGAACGTTTTCTTTTATTTAAGTATCTACATGACTTAACATGGTCTCTTGACAACCCAGGCTCCTCTAACCTATTTGAAATGAGTGTTTTGAACTAGATGTCTTTTAGGTCATTGCTCCCACTAAACGTTTTGCTTTGGCATTAACGTTTAGAAGGTATTTGGTTTTGGGGATGTTTTTTGAGACAGAGTTTTGCTGTGTAGTTCAGGCTGGCCTCAAACTCATGGGAATACTCCTGCCTCAGTCTCTCAAGTCCTGGGATTAGAGGTATGTGCCACAGCACCGGGATAGACATTATTTATATACATTTTTTTTCAGCCTAATATAACAACACTGTGTATTAGTACAGATAAGTATTGTCTCTGCCATTTCATAGATGAGAAAATCAAGTGTCTCAAAGGCTGTCTGGCCCAAGGTTTCATGGCAAGGAAATGGCAGAGCTAAAATACTGTACAAATTCCTCCCATATCCTTTTTTTTTTTTTTTTAAGGCAGGGTCTTGCTGTGTAGTCCAGATGGGTCTCAATCTCACTATACAGGCCAGGGCTGGTTTTGAACTCACAATCCTCCTGCAGCAGCCAAGTGCTGGGTTATAGGCCCTTCACAATGAACTACATCCCTGGCCCTTTTTTATTTGGAGGGTTTAAATTGCTAAGTTCCCCATGCTGGACTCCAATTTGCCATCCTCCTGCCTCAGCTTCCAGCCTTTTTTCTTATTCCTTCTTTTATTGGTAAAATAAACCAAGCTGTTTCTGAGAACAGCTCTTGGTTTAACGAAGGTGAACTATGTAGCAAAATGCTATTCTTTTAATTTTTGTTTTGTTTTGAGACAATGTCTCACTATGCGGCCCAGGCTGACCTTGAACTCAGGAATTCTCTGGCCTCAACCTTCCAAGTGCTGGGATTACAAGCAGGAGCCACCATGACCAGCTGATAAAATGCTATTCTTTTAAAAAACAGGTCAATTTTAATCTTAATCTATGAATTGGTTTCTCATATTACTTTGTATCTGCATATTTCTTCCATTTTTAATACCAAATCTATACTCAAATATAATAACAGGTGCAGAAATTAAATCAAATGGCCCTTAGTCCATTGGAAACTCCTGAGGTTGTGGCGAGCTCTTACTCAGCGTTTACTGAGAATGCTAATAATGAAATGCCTGGACTTGCATGTCTACCTTCCCTGTTTTGCTGACGAGAACCTTGTTTTTCAAAGATTCTTAAATTTAACAATTTGCCTCCTGCAATGTGAAGTGTGCTCCTTGGTCCAGATCCCTCTTGGGGAGCGGGGATTTAGCTCAGTGGTTCCGCCGCCTGCCTTGCAAGCGAAAGGTCCTGAGTTCAATCCCCAGTACCAAAAAAAAAAAAAAAAAAAAAATTCATGCAAATGTTATCACTTCTTGGCCTCTTGGCTAAGATCAAGTGAAGATCTCTCTTGGGAATGAAGGACTTACTGCCCCACTGTGAGCTCCAGCCATCAGCCCTCTGCAAGGACTCTGGAACCTAGTGCCTGACCTGACAGGAGGCAGAAGTGCCTGTCCCAGCTCTACCGCCCAACATTCCAGCCCCCAGAGCTCCGAGCGATAGTCTGGCCTCATGGGGACTACAGTGTAATTCCACCTCTCTCTCTGCCCAATCTTGCTTCCTTCCCCTCCTTTACACAGCTGTGGGTCCTAAGAGTTCTCCCTAATAAGTGTCTTGTATGATAATTGATATCTCAGAGGCAGCGCGCCCCAGGAACCCAACCTACACCACCAAATAATGAGCAGCATATAATTAAACTAAAAACTAGCCTTTGAGACACACCCCACACAGTCTATGAATCTGCTGGTTCTAATTCTATTACTTGAGTTCTTTGTAGAGTCCTGAGGTAGAAGAAATTAAGATAGGTAAGAAGGAGACAAGGAAAAAAATCATAATTTAAAAATTTTACTTTTAAGTAGACTACAAGGGCCAAGGATTTAGCTCAGTGGTTCTGCTGCCTGCCTCACATGCGCAAGGACCCAGGTTCAATCCCAGGTACCAAAAAAAAAAGAGAGCAAACAAGAATACACAAATTCTGCCAGGTGTGGTGGCGCATGCCTGTAATCCCAGCACTCGGAGGCCTCGGGAGCACTCGGGATTACTGGAACTACAGGCGTTCACCACCTGGCTCATGCTGTGCACTTCTAGTTACCAATACAGAGACCTTCTCCTCCAGGCCCAAAAGAGCCTGCCTGCTGTGGCCCAGCTGTGCCACTGCTCATCACCCACAGGTCAAATCCAGCCCGAGCACCATGCCCTGGCATCACCACAACACACCTTGGCCATCCTGGTCCACATTCCCCTTCCGGTTCCTGAACAGGGCTCTGGAACCATCCTCTGCATTCAAATCCCAGCTGTCCTACTGACTATTCGACCCGGGCAAGCCACTTAACCACACTGAACTTCAGTTTGCCCATCTGTAAAATGGGGATAATAACAGTTTCTACATCAAAGGGCTATAGTGAGGGTTGAACAAGCTGATACAAAGTGCTTAGAACAGTGAGCGACCAACCAGAAGTGCCAGATAAGTATTGTTCCCTAGACACTTCTCTTTCAGACTTCAAAGTTTTCTGAAGACATATAAATAATAAACAGTGTCTGCAAAGTGCTTGAACTCCAGCCCCCCAAGCCCTCTCCTCCTCTCACTGTGACCACCTTGGCAAGGCTGGCTCTTCTAGAGCCTTCATGGAGGGACAGAAGAGCTCAGGCCTCTCTCCCTCACAGGGCCACATCTACACGAGGACAGAGAGTTCCCTGCCCGTCCTCCTTGGTTTCATATCTTCCCTGGCACCAGCACAGCTCCGCTCTTAACCATGGATCTGTATTTGCCTTAGGGTACGCGCGCGCACACACACACACACACACACACACACACACACGCCTGCAAACTACTAATGCACATGATGAACCAAAATGGGAGGACATTTCATCCTTTCCATTGTAAAGTTTAACTCACAGTCACAATGAGAAAAGCTACAAAGTTAAAAGCATCAATAGATTTTTGGTCTGCTTGGGTTTTGGGTCCAAGTACAGGAAACCCAACTTCCAACCCTTTGCCAAATGAAAAAGTGAGCAGTTGCTACGTGTGGGGCATGGCTGCAAGCCTGTGACATTGGCCATCCTTTCATCCCTTCAACCTTCAGAGGTGGGTGACAGTATTATCATCACCTCCTGTTTTCTACATAAGAAAAACCAAGGCCCAGAGTGGTTAAGAAAACTGTTGAAAGCCAAATAGTGATAGTGATGGCGCAGACTGCAACAAATGCAGTCCGGTCGAGAGGCTGTGGTACCCTGTACTATACAGCCTTCCTAAAGACACAAATCTGTAGCAGGCTTGGGTGGGGGTCTTGCTATTGTAGCCCAAGAACTGACAGTCCTCCTGCTGTGGCTCCCCAAGGACTGGGACTACTGGCATTTGCCACCACACCTGGCTGCGCTTCAAGCTTTTGATGATTCCTGCATTGCCTATTTGATAAAATCCAAATTTACCAGCAAGCTAACAAGTTCCAGCACCACCTGATAAGCTTATCTTTTCTCACCCACTCTAGGGTAGCAGTTTACTCTCTAGCAACATAAAACTACACTTCACAGCAAAGACCCAGCTGTCTCATAGTCTCTGCCCGACACTGCCCCCCCCCCAGCTATTTCAGCTATGTGCAACACCCTCTTCCCTCTTTATCTGGCTGACACCTGTTCATCTACATTCTTTTGCAGGAAATGACCTACTACACCCCAACCCTCACGTCAGCCAGCTCAAAGCCTCTTCCTAGGCTTTCATTATCCCATGCAAAACAGCCCA